TTCTGGGGGTTTGTAAAGAATAAATTGAAGAGGACTGATGCTATGGAAGCTTTTGGGATGAAGAGCACAAATGGCCTTGTAGTGCTTCGTGGCAATGTACAGATGGACTCCTCCATTCAATAAGCTTGAGCAGAAGTCTGTCTCCACGCCATGCCAGAATCACAGAGCTTGTTTTGTGTTTCTGAAGAGGACAATCTGTTGATGCAACATATTGGTGTTCTTTTCTTTCTTTCTTTCCTTTTTTTTTTTAAAATGAAAGCGTTGATAGACTCTGAAATACTGGGCCAGTCAGATTTGGATAATGTAAAACAAATAATCTCGTGGAAATCAAAATGAAATGTCGACAGTAATAAGAGCTGAGTGTAGCAGACCGCGTCCTTTCAACATGTGACAGGTGTGGTGTTCTTGTCCTCAGTGACGTGTTTTAACAGTTGTTGTGACTTCAGGTAAAATGGGAAGCAAGTTTAGGCATGAACTCATTAAAAATGTTTAGCAAGAGCCTTAGCAAAAAAGTTTACACACATATCCCAGGGTGTACAGGGAGCAGAGAGCGGGAACGAGTCAACAGGGACGTGGAGTAAAGAATCAGATTTTCTGGTGTTTTTGGTCAGAGGCTGAGCTGAGCACAAGTTTAGGCTATATGTTAACACACTCCCACACACACAGCAGCAGTGCCTGTTGCTATCAAACTTGGTACAATGGTAAATAAACCCGCCAAGTGGATCGTATGTGCACTTAGTGCATAAAAGGTGCAGCGTCTTTGTTTATGCTAGCCTAACATTAGATTTAGATCAAATTAAAGTTGCTTGAAAAATAAGAAACGGTTCCTTCTAGAGATATTAACTCATTGTTGCCTTTAGCTACTTAAAAAACTTAAACCTGCTATCCAAGGTAAAAGTCTTTTGCTTATCCCACTGTCTCATCACATCTTCCTTCAGTTCCAGCTTACAGCCATACCACTGTGAGCCCTCCTGAACTCAATGTGATTGTTGTATCTCAGATTAACTGTAAATTCATACAAGCAGTTATTTTCTATGGTTAAGTACTTTCTATCTAACACTCACACACATTCATACTCCGATGGATGACCTGTTCGACCAGGTAGAGTAGGTCATCCACTGATTGGGAGGTTGGTGGTCAACTCCTGGCTGCTCCAGTCTGCATGCCAAAGTATCCTTGGGTAAGATACTGAACCCCAAGTTGCTCCAATGTGTTTGTCAGATTATGAAACGTGTGAATAGGTGCTTGTATGTACATTTGTGTGAATGGGTGAATGTGTCATTTTGTATAGAGCGCTTCAGTAAAGTAGAATAGCGCTGTAAAAAGAAACAGGCCATGTATCATTCCTGTGTGTTTCTTCTTAGACCAACTTGATAGCATTACTTACATAATGGCGAAAGCTTATTATGGAGTTCTGTTTATTGATACCCAGAATGTGTTGTCAGCCTTAAGGTGTGGTTTGTGAAGAAAGATCCTTCTACTACAGAATCCAGAAAGTACTGAGATTGAACCTAAACCTTTAGTTAGAGGCCTGACAGCCAGACAAAATGCCGAAAGTCCATGCTGGTGGCTTTTTCAAACTCTCAAGATTTCATGTAAATGTTGAGACAAACTGAGAGTGGATAGTATTTGACCGCAAACAGAAAAGCTACCTGAGTAATGTCTGTTGTCTGTGTCATGTAGCTGGATGGGAAATCTGCAGCAACTTCATGATGCTATCACGTGAATTTGGATCAAATCTCTGAGGAATCTTACTAGCACAAAGAATTAAGACAGTTCTGAAGTCAAGGGTCTAATCCAGTACTAGAAAGGTCTACCAAACAAAGTGACCAGAAGTGTAGAAGTACAAAGCAAAGGCAGCAGTGGAGGGTTTTTATTAATTTTACTGACTTTATATTCTCAGAGGCAGGGCCTAAACAGAAGGACCAAAAAATGCACAAACATGAACAAGAGTGACCTGTGTTGTTCCATGTATTTTTGCCACTTTTGCTTCTAGTGAGATTTAGACATGAGTATGCAAAGCTCTGCGCAGCCCCCAAGGACTCCTTACCCACAGTTTAAGCTGAAATCATCAACTACTTTTGTCTTTTTCAGAATATGAGACATGAATGAGTTTTTCTTTTATATTTCAGAAGGCATATACTGTATGCTGAATTTAATGACTGACGTGTCAGTCTGATTAGTGAGTTAGCAATGTCGGCCAGCAAACTTTCCCAGTCTGCAGTTGAAGTTAAAGCAAGAATGTCTGGAAGATGACTGACTGAGAAATACCAAATAGAAAAACAAGACCCAGGAGACCCTTGAGCTGAAAAGGAAACAAAATGTCCTGCTACCTTCAGTGTCTACAAAAAAAAAACTTTAAAGGAGAAATGTGACTGCACCTGCCACCGTAGGTAGGTAGGTAGATAGATAGATAGATAGATAGATAGATAGATAGATAGATAGATAGATAGATAGATAGATAGATAGATAGATAGATAGATAGATAGATAGATAGATA